ACAGAGAAATAATCTTGAAAAACCCAAACACATTCATAAAAGGTGGTTGTACTTAATGATGTAGAGCACGGGACAAAGTGTTTATACCCCTGAAAAGTTCATACCATCCGGTAATTTCTTTCTATCAAAACAACCATATGCTTAAAACCTATATCGTAACCTCCCTGCCAGCTAGAACATAGAAAGGATTCAACCATTACTTAGGATACAAAATTTCAAGTAGAATATGTGTGAGTATCACAAAATATCTGCTCATGCAAACAAAAAATAACTTTAAACGCTGAGGTATGTGAATTAATAGCTAACGATATTATATAAACAAGCTAAAAATCAGTCTGTCCAGTGTAAAAAATATGGAAAATAGTTTTAAGAAAATTCTACTACATTTCTTCCTATTATATTAACCTTCAATTTTATGCCATACCTGAATGTAATGGATAAGGGCAGAATTTTCGTCACTTGGATTTAGGCCCTCAGCACTGTAAAAGTAATGTATGCCCCTTTCAAGATTAACAACTCTCTTTGTCAAGTGCTGAGATGGAAATAAAGCCTGAGAGATAGGACGAGGACTCTTGAAAAAGTTATCTTCAATATGCTGGATCATTGACTCTGCTTCATTTGGTTCGATGTTTCCTAAATAAGTAAGGTAGAAATGATGAATAGACAATCAAGAAGACACAGTTGAAATAACTCTAGCAAAGAAAGAGCTAAATGAGAACCTGCTATATAGCATTCCAGAAAGGTCCTTGATAGCATCAGGGGATAAAATTTAACAAGATTATCAGCTTCTAGATGTGGAAGAACTTCAAGTTCATCATACCAGGGCCATGTTTGATCTTGTAGTATTAACGAGCAGTAGTACATAGCTTGCTGATATGGCTGTTGGAACTTCACGTTCTGATATTCCTTTGTGACCAGTTCCTATTTGATGGCAAAACAAAATGTGAAAAAAAAAAAAAAAAGACAATTATCTTTTTTGATTGAAAACAATTTCAGAAGAGAACTTCTAATTTGGTGAATGCATATAAAATAAATGATCACACCGACTGCAAAAACTAATATATATTTTCCAAAAAGTTCAACCTACATCACAAAACACCTAGATTTGTCTGAATACCTCTCAATTGAGAGTTTCTCCTCATTAAATAGGAACTTTGTCCCTAATTATCGTCCCAAATTGCAGCCAAAAAATATTTCTATCAAATATCCTATTTACATCACTATTCTATATTTACAATATAATCATGTGCATAATGTGCGTGATATGCTGTTTACTGTCATCCCCCCTCAAATTGATGCTGTCGATCAAAAAGCATCAATTTGTCAACCATAAATTGATGTCGAAGACGTTCGAGAGCCTTGGTAAATATATCAGATGTGTGAAGATCTGTAGAAACGTGAGGAAGTGTAATCACTTATTGGTCAAATGCTTCTCGTATGGAGTGACAATCAACCTCAATGTGATTGGTTCGCTCATGAAATATCATATTAGCACCAATCTGAACATCACTTGTGTTGTCAGCATGAAGTGGAGTAGGAGTAAGCTGAGGAAAACCAAGTTCACCTAGTAAGCCCCGAAGCCATACAATCTCAGAGCAAGCGGAGGACATAGCCCGATATTCAGACTCAGTTTAAGACTTTGGAACACGATCTTGCTTTTTACTCTTCCATGAGATAAGTGTATTTCCAAGAAACATGCACCAACCAGTAATTGACCGTCGAGTATCAGCGCAACCAGCCCAATAAGCATCAGTAAAACCAATCAACCGTAGAGAATTCCCAATAGGAAAGAATAAATCTCGACCAGATGTATCCTTTAGATAACGAATGATACGTCACACAGCGGCCAGATGGAATGTCTAGGAGCCTGCATAAACTGGCTAACGTGCTGGACTGCAAAAGAGATATCAGACCTTGTTATCGTCAAATAGTTCAAACTTCCCACCAACTGTTGATATAGCAAAGGGTCTGCTAAAAGATCTTTTGCCTAGCGAAGCTTTAGATTGACCTCCATAGGTGTGAGAACCGAGTTGCCTGACCCAAGTCCAGCAAAAGTAATTATATCTGAGTATATTTGTATTGATGTAACAGTGTGCCTTTAGAAGTGGAATGTACTTCAAGGCCAAGAAAATACTACAATGTACCAAGATCTTTCATGTGAAAGGAAGTTCGAAGATGTTGCTGCATTTCCCCAATTAACTGTCAATCAGCACCTGTAATGACAATATCATCCACATACACTAGAAGAACCACAATGCCAATATCAGTCTTTCTAAGGAAGAGAGATGAATCATATTGACTTTGGATGAAATTGAAATCAAGGAGAGTAGTGCGAAATTTATAAAACCATGCCCACGGTGCTTGCTTTAAACCATATGATGATCACTTCAAAGGATGAGTGAGTGAACAGGCCAGGAGGAGGAGTCATGTACACTTCTTCTTTCAATTCTCCGTATAGAAAAGCATTCTTAACATACATTTGTCGAAGTGACCATTCTTGGGATGCAGCAATGGTAATGATAGTGCGTACTATAGTTATCTTAGCCACTGGTGCAAATGTCTCCTCAAAGTCAATGCCATACTCTTGTCTGTTGCCAAGTGCCACCAAGCGTGCCTTGTATCGTTCGATGGAACCATCAGCGCATAGCTTCTTTGTGTAAACCCATTTGCATCCAATAACTTTTGCCCCATTTGGACAGGGTACAATGTTTCAAGTATGATTGTCTTGGAGAGCTTGAAATTCTTCATGCATAGCTTGCCTCTAGTAGGCTTGACTAGAAGCGTGAGAGTAAGATTTGGGGACAAAAGTAGTGTCAATTGTAGCTTGGAGTGCAGTATGTGAAAAACCATACTTATCTGGAGGACGAGTGACACAATTGGAGTGTTGAAGTTCAAGCTCCGAAGGACGAGGCTCAGGTTCAAGATCTGACTTCGATTCGAGATAAGGCGAAAGAGGCAGTGGGGAACGTCTCTAATATACAATTCCTGGTTTAAAGCATTCAATAAAACAAGACATAGCATCAAAAGCAGGAAGAATGACAGAAGCAGAATCAGGAGTGACACGGGTCCGGAAGAAATATTGATTTTCAAAGAAAACCACATTCCGAGAAATGCGTAGCTTATTAGTGTCCGCATCATAACACACAAACCCCTTATGAGTAGGACTATATCCCATGAAAACACACTTAGCTGCTTGAGCTGCAAGCTTGTGACGTTCAGTGTGGTAAATGAACAAGGCAGATACAACCAAAAGTACGTAAAAAATGATAGTCAGGAACATTACCAAACAAGCCAGAGTACGGAAGTAGTGTTGATTGTAGCTTGGAGTGCAATATGTGAAAAACCATACTTATCTGGAAGACGAGTGACACGATTGGAGCGTTGAAGTTCAAGCTTCGAAGGACGAGGCTCAGGTTCAAGATCAAACTTCGGTTCGAGATAAGGCGAAAGAGGCAGTGGGGGACGTCTCTAATATACAATTCCTAGTTTAAAGCATTCAATAAAACAAGACATAGCATCAAAAGCAGGAAGAATGACAGAAGCACAATCAGGAGTGACACAAGTCCGGAAGAAATATTGATTTTCAAAGAAAACCACATTCCGAGAAATGCGTAGCTTATTAGTGTCCGCATCATAACACACAAACCCCTTATGAGTAATATCCCATGAAAAAACACTTAGCTGCTTGAGCTGCAAGCTTGTGACGTTCAGTGGGTGGTAAATGAACAAAGCAGCCACAACCAAAAGTATGTAAAAAATGATAGTCAGGAGCATTACCAAACAAGCGAGAGTACGGAGAGTCATAATCCAAAGTGCGGGAAGGCAATCTATTAATCAAGTATATAGCTGTAGATAAAGCCTCTACCCAAAACTTAAATGGTACAGGATTCAATCAGTAAGGTACGAACAATGTCTAGGATGTGTCGATTTTTACGTTCTACGACACCATTCTGTTGGGGAGTATATGGACAAGAGCGTTGAGGAAGGATTTCCTTTATTTTGAGATAGTCCTGAAAATCTTTAGACATATATTCCTCCCAGAGTCGGAACGTAAAATTTTAATATTAGTGGAAAACTAGGTCTCAACATAAGCAACAAAAGTCTGAAATATTGAGAAGACTTCGACTTTGGAACGGAGAAAATATACTCAAATAAAACGACTATAGTCATCAATGAATGTCACAAAATACTTGTATTGAGCATGTGAAATAATAGGACTGACACCCCAAACATCAGTATGAATAATATCAAAACAACTAGAAGCACGACTACCATGATCAAGGAAAGGTGGAAACAAAAGAGATATCAGACCTTGTTATCGTCAAATAGTTCAAACTTCCCACCAACTGTTGATATAGCAAAGGGTCTGCTAAAAGATCTTTTGCCTAGCGAAGCTTTAGATTGACCTCCATAGGTGTGAGAACCGAGTTGCCTAACCCAAGTCCAGCAAAAGTAATTATATCTGAGTATATTTGTATTGATGTAACAGTGTGCCTTTAGAAGTGGAATGTACTTCAAGGCCAAGAAAATACTACAATGTACCAAGATCTTTCATGTGAAAGGAAGTTCGAAGATGTTGCTGCATTTCCCCAATTAACTGTCAATCAGCACCTGTAATGACAATATCATCCACATACACTAGAAGAACCACAATGCCAATATCAGTCTTTCTAAGGAAGAGAGATGAATCATATTGACTTTGGATGAAATTGAAATCAAGGAGAGTAGTGCGAAATTTATAAAACCATGCCCACGGTGCTTGCTTTAAACCATATGATGATCACTTCAAAGGATGAGTGAGTGAACAGGCCAGGAGGAGGAGTCATGTACACTTCTTCTTTCAATTCTCCGTATAGAAAAGCATTCTTAACATACATTTGTCGAAGTGACCATTCTTGGGATGCAGCAATGGTAATGATAGTGCGTACTATAGTTATCTTAGCCACTGGTGCAAATGTCTCCTCAAAGTCAATGCCATACTCTTGTCTGTTGCCAAGTGCCACCAAGCGTGCCTTGTATCGTTCGATGGAACCATCAGCGCATAGCTTCTTTGTGTAAACCCATTTGCATCCAATAACTTTTGCCCCATTTGGACAGGGTACAATGTTTCAAGTATGATTGTCTTGGAGAGCTTGAAATTCTTCATGCATAGCTTGCCTCTAGTAGGCTTGACTAGAAGCGTGAGAGTAAGATTTGGGGACAAAAGTAGTGTCAATTGTAGCTTGGAGTGCAGTATGTGAAAAACCATACTTATCTGGAGGACGAGTGACACAATTGGAGTGTTGAAGTTCAAGCTCCGAAGGACGAGGCTCAGGTTCAAGATCTGACTTCGATTCGAGATAAGGCGAAAGAGGCAGTGGGGAACGTCTCTAATATACAATTCCTGGTTTAAAGCATTCAATAAAACAAGACATAGCATCAAAAGCAGGAAGAATGACAGAAGCAGAATCAGGAGTGACACGGGTCCGGAAGAAATATTGATTTTCAAAGAAAACCACATTCCGAGAAATGCGTAGCTTATTAGTGTCCGCATCATAACACACAAACCCCTTATGAGTAGGACTATATCCCATGAAAACACACTTAGCTGCTTGAGCTGCAAGCTTGTGACGTTCAGTGTGGTAAATGAACAAGGCAGATACAACCAAAAGTACGTAAAAAATGATAGTCAGGAACATTACCAAACAAGCCAGAGTACGGAAGTAGTGTTGATTGTAGCTTGGAGTGCAATATGTGAAAAACCATACTTATCTGGAAGACGAGTGACACGATTGGAGCGTTGAAGTTCAAGCTTCGAAGGACGAGGCTCAGGTTCAAGATCAAACTTCGGTTCGAGATAAGGCGAAAGAGGCAGTGGGGGACGTCTCTAATATACAATTCCTGGTTTAAAGCATTCAATAAAACAAGACATAGCATCAAAAGCAGGAAGAATGACAGAAGCACAATCAGGAGTGACACAAGTCCGGAAGAAATATTGATTTTCAAAGAAAACCACATTCCGAGAAATGCGTAGCTTATTAGTGTCCGCATCATAACACACAAACCCCTTATGAGTAATATCCCATGAAAAAACACTTAGCTGCTTGAGCTGCAAGCTTGTGACGTTCAGTGGGTGGTAAATGAACAAAGCAGCCACAACCAAAAGTATGTAAAAAATGATAGTCAAGAGCATTACCAAACAAGCGAGAGTACGGAGAGTCATAATCCAAAGTGCGGGAAGGCAATCTATTAATCAAGTATATAGCTGTAGATAAAGCCTCTACCCAAAACTTAAATGGTACAGGATTCAATCAGTAAGGTACGAACAATGTCTAGGATGTGTCGATTTTTACGTTCTACGACACCATTCTGTTGGGGAGTATATGGACAAGAGCGTTGAGGAAGGATTTCCTTTATTTTGAGATAGTCCTGAAAATCTTTAGACATATATTCCCCCCAGAGTCGGAACGTAAAATTTTAATATTAGTGGAAAACTGGGTCTCAACATAAGCAACAAAAGTCTGAAATATTGAGAAGACTTCGACTTTGGAACGGAGAAAATATACCCAAATAAAACGACTATAGTCATCAATGAATGTCACAAAATACTTGTATTGAGCATGTGAAATAATAGGACTGACACCCCAAACATCAGTATGAATAATATCAAAACAACTAGAAGCACGACTACCATGATCAAGGAAAGGTGGAACTTTGCTCTTACTGAGTTTACATGTAGTACAATAAGGAGATATATGAATAGAATCTTTATTACCCAAATAACCTTGTTTCACTAGATAAGTCAAAACAGTAGAATTGGGATGTCCCAATTTCTTATGCTAGACATTAGAGTTCTCAATTATGGCGGTATGAGCTAAAGAGAGAGTACTAGGAATGGAAAATTGGAGCGAAAACAGACATCCCACTTTAGGCCCCCCTCTAGATCACTTTCCCTGATGCTTGATCCTATACAAGACAACCATCACAACCAAAATGAACATCACAATTGTTATCCACTAATTGTCCAAAAGAAATCAAACTTGTAGATAAATCAGGAGATACAAACACATTGTTAAATGAAGGTCCCAAATTTCCAACTGCAATAATTGGTAGCGTACTACCATTGGCTATTTTTATGTGTTGCTTTCCCTCATACTTTTTAACATCATGCAAGTTATCCATATTCCCAGTCATATGATTTGAAGCAACGGAATCAACCAACCAAGGAGAGGAGAGTAAATTTTTCTTACCTGGTGGTCCCAAAGCAGAGAAGGCAGATATAATCATTTGATTCATTTGTTGTATCATCTCGGGCGTAAGAGTAGAAGAGTTACTTTTTGAGGTTTGATCACCAGATGAGGTAGACTGAACATTAGCTTGAAAATCCTGAGCCTGGCGATTCTGAGGTCGTATGCGACAATCCTTAATGATGTGTCCCTCCTTGCAGTAATTACAGAATGTCCCGTTACAATGTTTGGCAATATGTCCAAACTCCTTGCACTTGTAGCATTGCGGCTGATATTTAGATTTTCCTCTTCCCTGAGCATCATAGGCCACATTGATAACCTCAGAGGACACAATCATTTGTCCCATTCCAAGTTGAGTGGTGAGGCGCTGTTCTTCACGTAATAATTCTCCCAAGCAGATATCCAATGATGGAACAGGATTGCAGTTGAGTAAACTAGCCCTAACAGTTTCGAATTCCGGTCGGAGCTTCATAAGAAATTGGTCCATTTGATTTTCTGCTTGAATTTCCTGTAGTGCTTCTTTGGGAGCCTTGGAATGAATTATGCCGGAGTATTCACTCCATAGATTAAGAAAACTGGCATAAAACCGATCAATTTGAAGATTACCTTGAGTGTATTGTGCAATTTCTAATTCCAATTGGAACTTCCTTGCAGAGTTTACTTGATTGTAAACACATCCAAGATAATCCCACATATCCTTAGCTGCAGTGAATGAACGGAGATTGGATATCATATGAGATTCAATTGATTCCAAAGTCCATGAGACAATGGGAGTATCTGCACTTTCCCATTGTTCTTTCCCTTTTTCGTCTTCGGGGATCGTAGATGACCCATCCAAATGTCTCCAAAGTTTTTTACCTTTTATAAACATCTTGAGCTGAAACTTCCATGTGGAATAATTTTTTACATTAAAACGAACAAGAATATTTTCTGTCAACATCACAAATGTAGCAGTCCAACACACTTCCTCTAATCAATCAACAATGTTAATATGTTTACTGTAGTCCAAACAGTGGCCCAACAATAGCCCAAAAGAATAAATTATAGCCTAGGCAACAATATTAAATGTCAGCAGCCCAAAATGTAATAGAAATACAAAAAATAATGGCCCAATTAAAATCATCTAATACCGGCCCAAAATGAATGTATCAGCCTAAATTATCAACCACATAATTATAACTGCAGCCCAGATAAACCTGCAGATCGTGATGCCTCCGTCACCGAAGAAAACAGTCGGGAAGAAAGGGTCTGCCGGTCGTCGCCTCTACAAATTCGGTACCCACAGAAGAAATTTCCGACTTTTTGTCGTTGTCTCCTGATTGCGCGTCGTCTACGCTGTCAACTGATGAACTCGTCTCCAAAAGAAGATGCGAACCCACCAATATTCGAAGGTTGTGACACTGTTACTCGTGGTGGGTTAAAAGGAAAAGGGAGCCAGAATAAGAAAAATGAATTGGTATGATTTCTGACCAGATTCTTGCAACATCTAGAAATCTTAAGAAAATAGCAGTATCGGAGGTGGCTCTAATACCATGTTAGATTTGTCTGAATACCTCGCAATTAAGAGTTTCTCCTCGTTAAATAGGAACTTTGTCCCTAATTACCGTCCCAAATTACAGCCAAAATATTCCTATCAAATCGCCTAATTACATCACTGTTCTATATTTACAATATGATCATGTGCATAATGTGCGTGATATGTTGTCTGCTGTCAATTTCTAATAGGGAATGCAATCGTAGGATGCTTCCTTGAAATAAAATTATTCACTTGTGCAATTCGAGTGAATTTTTGAATGAATGCATGGTTACGCCCTTACTTATTAACAAGATAAGAATAGTTCATTCAGTTTAGTAATTAAAAATATAATTAGAGGTATTTTAGAATCTTTCAACTGTTAGAAACTAGAAATAAGTTGTTGAGCTCAAAAACAAGACAACAAATTGTCCAAAGGACAAGGATTTTCTAAATTATCAAAATGCCATTTTCCAGAGCACACAATATAAGGTTCATTTGCTTCCTGCAAGGGGGATATTCCAAGTTGCTTTACCTGACGTGATTAACATAAAATGGGCAAAAATGAAAATTCTCGTCTTAAAAAACTCTATGAAACTGTAAAGATTTCATTGATCGAACATTATTCAATTCATCATGAAACTATGCCACAAACGTTGACAACAACCAGGAAATTATAGATAGTTATTGTCAAGAAGTTTTACATCCTCACACAAATGATTACAATTTGATGCAGAAACAAATACAGTGGAACCAATGTGCATGGCAGTTAATTCATGCCTATCATGATCAAACTGAAAAATTAAAGGATGCACAGTATTAGACCTCATTAACTGTCTGGTCGTAAAACTTGATATATATTTCAAAATATCATTATGATAAGAGTTCAACCTTACCTTGATAACAGAAAACCTGTCAGGTTTTACTTCGAAATTTGCAATTCTTTCAATTACGGTCTCCAGTAAGATCTTCAATTTGTGATTGTATCCAAGTACAGTGACCTGAAAGAGGAATAACATGATGTAAAAGAAATGAACATCTAATCAATCAGGACAACAGGTAATTTTAAAAAAAAAAAATTACAGTAGAAGTGCTCAGGAAACTCAAAGAGGTGAGAAAACTACATAAACTGAATTGAGATAGGTGGCTGATTCTGGTTTGAATTTGTGACTTGTATAATAGAGTAAACTAAATCACAATAGTCGTGTCTGACTACATGATGTTTGAAAATTCTGCAACAAAAACATAAAAGGATGCTGAAATTTTAAACTTGAGATTAACGATGATAAACTAGCTTTATTTTCAATAATTTTGAGATGCTGGCCACAAGTACCCTCTTCTCATTATTTAGTTCGTTTGGTTCATTACAACATCTACTAGAAGATCCAACACAGCAAATATTGAACATAATAGATATGCGGGTACAAATCCCCGTAATTCTCACATGATAAGAAGCATTCATACCATCTGAGACACATAAAATCATACGAGTATTCATAAACCTTGCAACAGAAAAATAATCAGACAGAATTTTCGAAAGACGCAAAGTTGGTCCTCGCTTATACTTTTTTAATGATGACCAGAAAGACTAGATAAAAATTCACTGGGTATAAACCTGGCTCTGAAATAACATAATTTTATTGATCTTACAAATAATCATCCAGACCATCTACACTTCTCAACTAATACACCATTAAATCATTCTAGACATCATCTGTAAGTTATGTACAATATGCTGATTCTTGACCAAACATTTTTAAACTCCAGATGTACCAATAAGAGAAGTGTCAATCTTCATCCAAGAGAGTACTAACTACTGTCACTTGACTACCTTTCAAACACAGGTTAAAAATTTGAAGAGGATAGGATATTTGCATCTACAGTAGTTTAAATCATTCTAGACATCATCTGTAAGTTATGTACAATATGCTGATTCTTGACCAAACATTTTTAAACTCCAGATGTACCAATAAGAGAAGTGTCAATCTTCATCCAAGAGAGTACTAACTACTGTCACTTGACTACCTTTCAAACACAGGTTAAAAATTTGAAGAGGATAGGATATTTGCATCTACAGTAGTTGCAGAGAGAACTAAGGAAATGCAAGAGAGATTGTAACAAGGGAGCCCAGTAGTAATAGAAGGCAGGTCTCATACCACGGAGGAAAGGAACGGTTGGGTTAAGAAATTGACTTGGGATTTGTTGTGTGCACGTGTTGGTCACACAAAGATGAACTCTAGCGGAAATGTTGGTAAGGCTACAGATAGCAGTGAGCTGCAAATCAACTAAATTTGGTCCTTTGGAGGCTGGAATCAACTCTAAGTTGACTGCAAAAAATCCCAAGTTAAAGGTTGTACATAATATCCGTATGAGAACAATCCTGAATATACGTAATTCCAAGTTCTGTTTTGAATTTATGAACCAGAAGAGTAGAAGAGCAAGACATTTGGGTTCCTTAATCAGAATTGCTATGGAATGTGTCGACGGCCCCATCACCCCAAAAAGTAAAATGTCCAATGTTTTTGCACAATTGCACCATTTGGCAACAGACAAATTCAAAATAGTTCTTGTCAGAATTCAATCAATTCACACGGTGAACATATTCGCAGGGAATCTATATATTGTTTTCAAATGTTTCACCTGTTACAGGGTTAATTTTGACCATCACTGAGCCTTTGGCTTTAATCTCTCTCACAACTGGATAAAATGAATACCCAAACATGATAAATACAATATTTGATTGAGTTTTGAGCGCTGTATCACATACAAATGATATGAAAGGGAGCACTGAACAGAGATGAGAGTTGGTATTCTGTAATTATCTAGCATCTAAATTCCAACACCCGAAACTCTCTCTTCTCCGCTTCTATCTATAATTTCAAACACTCATTAATGCCCAGAAATATTAGCACTTCTTAAGGTAGTTAATACCTTCACAAAGTATGACAAGTTATTGAGAAAGTACCATCTTTGAAAAATGCTCAATATAGTGCAGCAAACTCAAGGAAAATGTACGATATAATCTATAAAAGATAATTAAAAATCATATAAGCACATTGGCCCAAACTAATACACATACATAGAAAGAGAGAAAATATAAACCTGAAAACCATAGTCAGTGTTGTTAACTCCATAATAAAGACCAGCAACCTGTGCGTCGTAAGCTGAAACATGCCAGAAAAGTAAAAAGGATTTCTTTAAGAACTTATGCGAGGGAAAAATGTCAAGGCGAGATAATGAATGCATGATGCAGTAACTTGATCCATCATACTTGGGAATCACTAAAAAATCTCTTCAAAACACTTTAATAGTCATAGAGCATACTTTCCAATCACTCTCAGGGCCTCACCATATTCATTTAAGTAGTCCATCAACAAACGCGTAAAAATTTCTGTAATCACTTCAGATTCGGGTGAACTTCCAGTAAAGGGACAATTGAAATCTATCTTAACATATGCCTTGGGAGTAGAAAATGCTGTATCTGGCTTGTACCACAACCTTGAATATGGTGATTTTCTCAACAAACATGGAAGTTCCATCTGATTCAAGGGTAAAAATATTAGATAGCTAAAGCATTCATCCTATGTATGTGAAGCTATTGAATTCAAAACTGCATTTGAGTAAATTATAATGTTGATTTACTTTATCAGAGACATTCTTAAGAGAAAAGTCAGTGGGAATGAACACATTAGGAGTAGGCAGATGTAGATGTTCATTAAGTGCCCTCTCCATCCATTGCTGCAAGCCAGTAAACATTTTAGCAACCAAGTGAATCGTTTGACTTCATAAATATAATCCACAAGAGAAACATCACGAAATAGACAAGCAACAGACCTCAATTGTGGAACCAGTTAGTTTCTCTACAGAATATGCAGTTCCATACCAGGGTTCTGTCAAGTCCGTCAGTCCTTCAAACTTTGTTGATTCCCAAAATATTCTGTTGAAAATATATATTACATAAAGCTAATGAATAAATCTTCAGATAGCTAATCCATGAGGAAGGGAGGTCAAAAGTAGGACAATACTACCAGGCATCTTCAAATGATTGCAGCATTCAAAATGTATTTCTACATAAACTCGTAACCAAGAAAAGGAATATAAAAGGAAAGGCTAGAGAGTTCAATCTAGAAGTGGTATTCAGACATAATTATTGTAAGAATTGTAAGAACTAGAAAATAAAAGGCAGGCAAGGTGAAAATTTATATACTGCGACTTGCAGGGCAACCAACTTAGAGCTTGTTTTGGAGAGATTTTTACAAGTGAAAAAAAGATATTTTTGGGGAATGTAGTTAAAATGTAGGGAAAAGTTATTGGTGCTATAAAATGTGTGGTTGAAATGATTTTGTCAAAAAATGTTCTTCAAAAAATCAATCCCAAACAAGCTCTTAGTGTCTAATATAACTCCATGCAAGCCTTATATTCCACAATTAAAATAATCATATGGATCTTTTATCAACAATCATCCTTTGTCTTCATTACTTAGACTAGGATAAATGCATCAAAAGTGATTCATATCCAAATAAACTAATTGAACCTCCATATCAAGTGTTTATTGAACAGAAAAAATAATATAGTCCGCATTTTTTCATAATTTTTTGTGTAAAATAACATCTATTGGACTCTAAACTATTCAGAAAAAACATTTTAAACAGTTTTTGTGTAAGGATCTGAAAATATAACATGCAACTCACCTAACATTGTTTGGAGTGAGCTCTTTCAATGCTGTCTCGATAATGCCTGGATTGAACTTTGAAGGCAAAGATGAACCCACCAGCCAATCTTTTGGAGGATAAAACTGAATTATGATTTTACAGAAATTACAGACACGACTATTAGCCAACCAAAAGATATCTGATTATTGGTATATAAATTCAATGGCACGGCAAGGAATCTATTAAGAAAAATTTGACGGTCAAAAGACGATATAACGAGGAATTCAAGAATAATAAGATTGAATTAACAATCAATTATACAGGGTGTGCAGATCTAATCATAAAAGTTCATTTCCACAAGAAAGTAAAAATCTGCAAAGGAAACTGCGTACAATATCTATAAGTCAATAGTCATGAAGATCATTGACCTACTTAGAATGTTAGCATGGCTTTACACAGAAAATGAACAGAGTATTTGTGATCAAGTAACTGTTAGGCTCATTAAACTCAATGAACTCACGAAGTAGCAATTGTGCAATAAATTTTGTACAATCGTCTATTCTGTAAATTTTTAGACATTTTTCATGGTATTTATCCATTAACATATGTGCATATCACCAAAGTAGTAACAAAAAATTCCTCTTTTTTTTTTTTTTTTTTTTGATAAGTAAAGTAGTAACAAAAACTTTACGAATCATTATAGATAAAATAAACTAATCATCTGATAATATGAACAGAGAACCACACATTTCATTCAATCGTAATAGAGTTCAAGTATTCTACTGTACTTTAAGACAAGTAATTCCCTCTAGCAACAAAGACATTAATTAAATTACCTGCATATTTAGTGCTACATCAACCACATAATCCGAAGGCCGTATCTTGTCTTGATAATGGAAGGCCGTCTCACAAATGGCTGAAAGCTTCATGGACAAATTGGAAAAGGAAATAGATTTTAAACTCTCAGGAAAACGGTCCAAAGAGAACACTTAGCAAAAGTATTGGCTCATACATTGGTGATTAAAAATAGACGCTAGAATGCATTTAAAATCGAACTACACAACATGCTACTATTTCTATTACCAAACTTTACATAGAAATAACGGCAATCCTGCAGACAGCAAACAGTCTTTCTTTCGTTTTAGTTAAAAGTAACTCCACAGCAAACAAATTGATACTAAACAACATGGATGCTTATCTAAGAAAATGAGAATTTGACTAAAATGCTTATACCATTTAATGAAAAGAAAAATCTTCGACAATTAGCGCTTTATGTTTGTTTTCCCTCAGTAAATTATTTCCTTATCACATGTTGGATGAACACCAGTTAATGCCACCACTTTAAACTTTCATTATCAGTAATAGTCAGGGAAATATTTAGATTTTTGCAAAAGAATGATGCTTAATTTTGATCCAGTAAAATCTCTGACTCCAAACAATATATCTGACCTGAGTATATTGACACATCAACTTAATGACATTTAAGTGCATAAATGGCATTTACGAAAGCAAAAGAACATATTAGAGTAAGTCTGCAGTAACATCTTAAAAGTGTTATGTGCCAGGTAAATATTTGTTAAATGAAAAGGAGAGGATTTAGCCCTTCAAGATAAGCCCATTACTATCTTTGAAGGTAACAGAATTGATTTCGACCGACTGCATTCTAATGTGAAAAACACGCTTGTCAATGAGATTGTCCATGCACAAAAGGAAAGAAGACACCTGTCAATGAGGTGGTCCACGCGTAAACAAAACAATAGGTTTTAAAGCTAACTCATTTCCATTCTGAGTATTCCATATTACCAAACTGGGAATATGCATGTAGTACCTTCAACAACTGGATGATCCACATCTCTAACAGGTCTAGAGATGATAACTCCCATCTCAACAAGTGCAAACCTATATATATGTATAAATTTTTTATGTTCCACCCGTAGGACACATAATTGAGCTGAAGATAATGTATTTGACTTCATCTGGATTGGGCTTTTTAAGATGTTATTTCCTATTCCTTGATTTCAGATGAAATTCTAGCAAATATGCAGTTGCATGCCATAATGATCTCAATTTTTAGTAGATTACATTATTTAACTAGTTAGATAAAAGCACATGAATGATGTAGTGTGAGATTTCGTGCCATCAGACGCACGCGCGTAAAGGGATAAAGTGGTAAGATAATTAACTAATGGTACCTCATTAAATATCCATTCACAGGGACCAGATTGCTTCAGGAGGTCAACATATTTGAATAACAGTACCACGATATCCTCAAAATGCTCTGTAAAGTTTTTTAATAAACAAATAAAGGAGAAAGTGAAAACTCTAACAACTTTCACATTCAGATCAGGAAGAAAGGCAATACAAGATTTACATGTTTTCCATCCTTCCAATTCCGGCACCCACCCCTGAAATCCCAAGAAATGCACACGAAAAGGAAAAAAGAAGAAAGGAAAGGCAACCACTCATAGTTCTACTCTGCATCTACCAACCCACCCC